CTTACTATTTTCCCTATATATCTAATCAAAGTATAACTATCACTAATATTAATAAATCAATTAATTCAATTATTTAACAATCAGTTACAACATATCAATTTTCCTTTCCCCAGTATGCATATTTATAATCATTATAAAGAGAGAATAAAGAAGGAGAGATAGTTCATCATAGCGCCAGATGGTGAGGGAAAAAGAAGGGGAAAAAAATTGAGCAAATGTATACAGAAAAAAGGGAGTAAAAAAGGGGGGGGGAGGAATTTTGAAGTAAGTTTTTAGCTTTCCGTCTCTAAGTTTGAGAGCTTTCACTCCAAACGCACCGGAAGTGGGGAGGTAAAAAATGCTGAGTAGTGACTGCAATTACACAGTATCTCCACATATTCGAAAGCTTCCACTTTTACTTTTTGTCTTAGCGTTCCTAAATTCAATTTTCCTGATTTTCTTCAGATGGAACCATCTCCTCAATTAGATCAGCATGCTCCCTAAAGGACTGTTAAGTGGTTTATATCAGTTATACTGTTACGATAGCTTCAGGGTTTCTAAGTATCGCCTGTGGTGCCACACTGTCTCTGTTCTGTCAGCTCTGATCTTCTTCCCGTCTCCGCTTTAATAAAGTCTTTCAGGATAAAAATCAAATGAGATAGTCCAAATCCTCCACAACTTCCAGGCACCTTCCAGCCGCTAGTCTCCCAACCTCGTAAACTTCCCTTTTTACTCGTTATTGTCCTCTCTCTCTTCTATCTGCCAAGCCCTTACACTTTCACTTGCCTCGCATCTGCTTTTTGGCCGCTTTCTTTTAGGGCTCTGGACAGACACTTGTAACAGCATTATAAAAGCCTATGGCATTCCAACCCTCCTCTCCGCTGCTAATTTTCTCTGCCACACTCTTCCCCAATGATCCCACATACTGTCACTCACTCGCTTCTTTACATCAGTGGCAGTCCGGACTTCGGAGCCACCATTGATAGGGGGCGGTTTCTTGCTCGTTGGGCTCTGGAGGGCTCCTCTTTGCTGCAGGGGGTTTGCCTTCCCCACACTGCAATCCGAGTCTTCCCCATGCTGGCACGAATCTCTCCGGGACTCGTGCACCCTCAAAGGATCGCGCCAACCGCAAAAAGAGATTAACTGAAACCACAGACGGGCTTCTACACCTCTGTTCGTCCTTGCCTTGCCACCGGAAGTCTCGATTAAATTTCAATATACATTCATAGATAGGTATTGTGCCATGCAATGACACACCAAGAATGTTTGTTTCACTTTGTCTATTATAGTTTTATAATAAATAAAACATTCTCTCTCACACACACTAAAAATTCAAATCTTACAAAAATACATCCTGAAAAGTTGGCCTTTTTAAAAACTACTCTCTACTAGAAATATACATGGATGTATGTTCTTGGTATAAGAACAAAATAGTTTTCCACTTGAGACAAACTGACATTGATCATGGAATTTACTCAAAACCATAAAGAATATCAAGAGATATATTCAGGAATAGAAAGCAATTTAGTCTTTAGTACATTTAGCTAAGCTGTGGGAGATATCCAGGGGGCCAAATCAAACAAGCAGGCAGAAATATATTAATGAATCAGAAAAGGCAGAGCCAATTTCATCATTAATAAATTTCATTAATTACTTAATTAGTAACTAGTTTCAGCTTAATTTCACCAGCACTGAGGTGACTTTGAAAGTTATAGGTTCAATTACCCAAAAGAATAAAAAACAGAAATAAAATAGAAAGAATGAAGAATCCCAAAGGCTTGCAACACAGAAGAGAAAAGCAGAGAAGTGTTCAGTAACAGAGACGCCAATTTAACAAAATGAGAAAGTGGAGGGAAATAAGAACAGCCATGAAAAATGTGACTACTCAACAATCAGTCTTACTGATGCTCATTTCATGCCCTGATGAGGACCTCTGGTGAACTGTATAGCAGAGTTTGAGAAAAATCCCAAGCTCCCTCTGAATCTGCACTGAGCCTATCAGGTACTTGTGGCAGGATGACTGAAAAGATTATACTTATCTGCAGGGGGAGGGGGGAAACAGCTGTGGAGAATTCATTAGGGAACTAATGTTAATGTTCTTGAAATTTAAATCATTAATCACTGCCCAGAAGCAAATACCAGATGTAATGTGTTAATAGGGCCATGAATAAGTTGAGCCATTGTCCATGGCTCCTATGCTATCTTGAACAAGGGACCCAGAGAAGGTTGACTGGAGTTTTCCAAAATCATAAGCCTGGGGAACTCTTCCAGACGGAAATGCTGCTAAATTATAGGCAAGAAGTCAACTGAGCAGCAATCCCCACTGATCCTTATGGCCCAACCTCACAAAAAAGGATTTCACATCCAGCAATGTCTGGAACAGACAACAGCCACTTACACCTGCCCTGAATCACAATTCCATTCGTGAAATCCCACAGGACACAACATATGGGAAAGGGCGTTGGTACTTACCTGATACGCCCATTCTCTGTGAGAATTACATTTGTATATTAAACAGTCACATTCAGGTCAAAAATTGATTTCCTGCACAACTGAAAAACCAGTAGGCCAGGGATGGGGAACCTTTTATGGCTCACTCGGGAGTTCTGGGAGTTGAAGTCCATAAGTGATAAAAGAGCCAAGTTTCCCAACCCCTGTACTAAGAAAAGGAGAAAGAGTGGATAATTTGCTTGTACCCAAGGAAACACTACACCATTAATAATGACACATGACTTAAAGATTGAGTAAATCACATCAATCTAAAATATAGAATCTGGAAGAATCCCAAATCAAAACCTGTCTTAAACCTTCCAAGAAAACATTGCTGCTAGTTTCTATGATGAATTATAGCAAGAACATTTGTTCTAGTATCATCTTCTACTATCAGAAGTTTGGTGCCCTCATTTATGCAAGTATGATGAGCAGTATAAAATTTTGATAAACAATAAATAAAAAAAAATAAATGTATTAAATTTGCTTGACTCTCAGAGACTCTGAGAATTTTATAGCTATATAGCCGGCATTGGATGTTCAACAATCAGAAAAATAAACTATAACTTACAATCCAAAGTAAAATATTAATATTGATATTTTCAAAGAAATAGATCTACAATTAAAACACTGGGTTAGTCTATTTTGGAAATAATTATGATATCTGTCACAATAAAACTAGGGTGGAGATTTACTTGAAAGAAAAATAACTTTCAGTAACTTTTGACAAAAATAACTTTCCAATAAAATAGAAAAAAATCCCAATATTTATTTTATAGAAACCTACTGGAAAACCATCAGGGCCAGAAATCTTCAATAATTTCAAAAGATTTAATTATGATAATTTATTGAAACAAAAGAAAAGTAAAATTAGTTTCCTAGCTTTGAGCTAACTATGGTGACCTTGGTTGCTGTAAGAAAAGACATATCTCCTCTTTTACTGATGAAAAACTTAACTGTTGTGGTTTGCTTTACTTCACTACGGATATTTGTCAAATTGTTTTCAAGGTACAAAAGGAATGAGCAATTTAAAAAACCTCTTTATACCGTACATAAGCTCATTTAAGGTTTCTAGTTTGCTCTTCAGAATAGGGCAACTAGCAGTCAAAGCCAATGATTCTTGGCAATTTTCCCTTCATAGAGGAGTTCTTAGTGCTTTCTGATTGATTGTTTTCTGGCAGACGTTTCATTACCAAACTAGGCAACATCATCAGTGGACTGATGGTTACCTAGTTTGGTAAGGAAACACCTGCCAGAAAACAACCAAGCTCAGAGAGTATCAAGAACCCCACAATTTAGTCCTGAGCTACAAATATTATTGTCTTTCAATATCCAATAAATCAGCTAAACTGCTCTTCTGGGAAGCAGGATATGTCACCTATCAATGATTTTTGACTGTATCAAATGGTCAAGGATTATAGTTCTAATTTAATATATCCAAAGAAAACTGGGTCGTGTATTATTTTGTAATGAACCAACTGAGCTAATAAAAAACCCTTGCTCTTTTTTTAATATAGGTAGTCCATGACTTACGACCACAATTGAGATCAAAATTTATGTTGATAAGAGAGACATTTGTTAAGTGAGTTTTGCCCCATTTTACAACCTTTCTTGCTACTATTGTTAGATGAATCACTTCAACTATTAAGTGAATAACACAGTTGTTAACTGAATTTGGGTTTGCCACTGACTTTGCTTATCAAAGGTGCAAAAGGTGACCCTGGGACACTGCAACCATCAGAAATATGAACCAGTTGCCAGGCATCTGAATTTTGATCATGACCATGGAGATATTGCAATGGTTGTAAGTGTGAAAAACAGTCATGTCACTTTTTTCAGTGCTGTTGTAACTTTGAATGGTCACTAAACATATGACTGTAACTCAAAAACTAACTATTCTTTCTTTAATATTCTTCTTTGATAACTATCTGCTATGAGACAACTTTGTCAGGCCTCTAATTCATCTAACTAATTTATATTCAAATGTTCTTGAAGATACCTATTCAAAATCAAAACTCTACTTTTAATTGGCCTTCTAATTAAATGATCACGGATTCTCTTGTGATCAATTGTTTCAAGTTTATTCCTAACAGTTATTCATCTTTAATTATTTGCCAACAGGAAGTGAGATACACTGATTTTCTTGAGAAAAGAGTGACAACTTGAACAACAAATTTAACATTTCAGGTTATCCAAAAATAGCTATTGCAGGAGGTTTTTTTCCCCTTCTCTACTAAGAAACTAAAAAAATGTGATAGATCAGGAGACCACAATAAGGATGAAGTCCTAAAACCAAAACAATTTTTTTTCTAATGTCTACGTAGTAAAAGTTGAAACACATTCCCTCAGAAGAAGTTTCCTGCAGCCAGCTATTCCTACTCTAAGCAGGAGATATTTTTAATAATTTTCATGAAGAATGCTACATGTATGAAAGTATCTGCAATCCTTAAGATAAAAAGTTAGTTTAATATGTTTGCTTACACATAAGACAGAAAGGATTCGGTGAATAAATCAAATATATTCAAGCTTACCTTTTTGTCTTTTTGTAATTTTCTAGCTGCAGTATTTGCATATGCTTGTATCTTTGCAATTCACACCGTCCACAAAGATCTTCAAGATGTAATAAATGATGCTCCATTTCTTTAAAATGTGCTTCCAATTGGACTTTGTTAATGAAACATTCAAACAGGATATGTAAATATCAATTCTCAAATAGATCATGATCACTTCTGATACAATTTCATGCTAAACAACCTCATGCATTATAACATTTAGTACCAGAAGCCCAAACTCTCACAATAGGACATTTCAAGAAACAAACATATGATTCAAGGACAATTTTTTTTGTGCTAGTTTATGGGAAATTCTCCTTTCCATTTCACAGACACCATGATAAAATTGGTACACTGAATGACATATTAAAGAGAAAGAGGAAGTATCACAGGACACCTGCTTCCCTTTCAATCCTAACTTATCTTCCCATCAGGTAATTTAGAGAAGACTAATTGAGACGGTTGGTTACTTAATACCCAATGTCTTTCAAGGATTTTCTAGAATAATTATTCAAGAAATGAAGCTCCTGAGCAATCAACTACTTATTTCTCTCCAAATCAAAAATAATTCAGCTTATTTCTCAAGCTAATCCAAAACTGAAAATATCAATTTGGAAGCTCTAAGCCATAAAAAGCATTGCAATCGTGGTCATTCTCAGAAGAATTACATCTGCTAATGATGCTCAAAATCTTAACAGAGACCTTTAGAATACTTTATACAAATTAATATAAAACCATCATCTGTGAAACAAATTACAATGTGCCCCCATTTACTAATTTTGGTGAATCTTGATGTAGCAGGCCCCAAAACACTGGTGTCTTAATAAGCAAAGTCATTTGCAGTTGACAAAAGGCGGCACCATGTCTTTTCTGTTGTCAGTGCTAGAGATATTTTCTTTTGTGGCTTTCAATAGGGTGAATTATCATCTTAGCAAAAACTGACGTCACAGTTTACCTTCTTCCTTCATCTGTTTCAAATTGCCAGAATTATAGCTTTCTACCATCCAGCCACATTTTTCTGGATTTCATCTTTCTTTTCTGTTTACTGTTTTTATAATGTCATTTGCAAGTCTATACTCCAATTTATCTCCATTTGAGCTGTCCTACTAATGATACTGCCTAGCTGGATATTGCCTAGTGCTAAAGGATTAGCACTAATAATAAAAAAGCTAAACTCAAGCCAATGATTTGAAAAACTAGTCCTTGAGGACCCCCTGCTGAGTACTTTTAAAAGTATACCTAAATTGCACAAAATTATTTGCTCATAACCGGATTTTTCAAAGTCTGCAATACTGCACCCTCCTAAAATAATATGCCCCCTGTGAATATAATGATTTAATTGGGGTTTGGAGTCAATCAAAAGTAAATGTACCTCTCATTTTTTAACAAGTAGCCATGATGCGATGATATCGTCTTTCTAATGATCTGAGTATCTATAGAGTATCTACCTCTATAAATAAGAAACAAACTGAATGCATACTTACCCAGGCTAGCTGTTGTAGATTCTAAGCCTGCCAGAAATACTGGAATTTGTTGAAGCTGGTCTTGAAGGTCCAAGAGACCACTTCTTTTTTTCTCCCAATGGGCAGAAAGCATTACAACTTCACTATCCACCAGCTGAAATTATTAAAGAATATAATTATAATTATTATATCTATCCACCAGCTAAAATTATTAAAGAATATAATTATAGATAGCAAATTTCTTATTTAGTTTTCAAACTAAAGCCTTAAGTTATTTCCTAACTGCGGAGTTCCATTCCCGCTTAACTGTGGCTAAAATAAATAATTCAGAGCAATTAATTCTATGCCCTCATAGTTTTCAATTAAATTCAATATATTTCAGCATAGTACAAAACTGATATTTCAAAAAGAATGTCCTTTTTGCAACTATTTTAAGTCTGTTAAAATGTATAAATATTTTACAATTATTTGTCCTGCTATATTTTCAAGTTTATACACTGTTTTGCCAAATTTTGTCTTACATACAGTACTTTTTTTCTTCAAACATCTCACATGCCATTAACACAAGTACATTCAAAGCTTAGGAACTGGAGCAAATAAATCTACTACAAATATAAATAATAGCAGCTTCATATATCACAGTAAGTATAAGGTGGTTTACCGAGTCTTAACACTGCATGCTTTGTCTTATTGAACAAATCACTGAGATACTTAAAAGACAGAGCCATAAATCTAATGTTAGCCTGGATTGAATTCAGCACAATGAATCGAAATAAATAACACAAAACAATATATAACTGTCAATTCAGTTTAGATTTTTAACTAATCCAGTTAAATTAATCCAGAAAACATAGTATTTCAAAATCCAGACAAGTTTTATAAAAGTATCTGATTTGACGTTTTACTCTGGAAAATGAGTCAAATCATTTTAAAAACTATTTGAATTTCTAAATCAATATTGCATTTTCTACAAGACTAATAAGTATAATATTTGCTATATATGTTTAAGTAAACATGGTTGGTGACATCATCTAAATCTTTAGTTTAATATCTAATTCAAATAAAATCATGAGATACAAAATGTACTGCAATCAATGATATACTGAATTACACTGAGAAGAAATAATAGGTTTTGTCTAAACCACTACTGAGTTGGTGGTTCAAAAACTCAGATATATTCCTAAAGTGTTCTGAATAGTCATGCTGACAGATAAGATTTGAATTAAAAATTCAAATAATTTTCATAATCAAAAATATTCTCTACACGCACATATATGTTTGTGTGTATATATACATTTTTAATACAATTACATGATGCATGTGATTACCTTTGTAGAATGTTTACAAATTATGCCTTCATGATTACAAATGAAGACTGACTATACAGAGTACTGGTAGTCTTTAATTTATGACCACAATTGGGACCAGAATTTCTGTTGCTAAACAAGGAAGTCATGTTTGATTTTACAATCGTTTTCACCATGGCTATGCTAATCACTGAAGATATTAAGCGAACCATGTGGTCATTAAGCAAAACCAGCTTCCAACCCCCCTTGACTTTGCTTGTGGAAGCTGGCTGGGAAAGGCATAAATGGCAAGTACATGACTCCAGGACACTGCAACTGTCATAAATATATGCCAGTTGCCAATGCCTAAATTTTGATCTTGTGACTCTGTGGATTCTGTGATGGTTTTAAGTCACTTTTTTCAGTAGGGCTATAACTTGTGTCACTAAATAAATAAATGGTTTTAAGTCAAGGACTACCTGTATTTGATAATTTACATATGTATTGCAAAAGTTTTAGTATAGTTCCTTTCAAAAATTCCAGTGAAGCTTTGCTGATGTTTGTTTAGAACTCAGAGGGATCATAAACAACCATAAACAAGGTATCATTTTGTGATACAAATACTGTGCTTATTGTACTATAAACTGGCTCTAAACCTGTATGTCATCCGTTTGCATTATACCTGTGATACTAAATTGCCACATATATTTTAATAATACTGAGCTTCTAAAGTAATTATTCAAGATTCTTGCAAAAACAATTTGCAGAATATTCATTTAAATGGCAGCCATGTTTTCTTCCTAAATGCTAAACATTCAAGCAGCAGTACTCATTTTTAATAAACCTTTCCATATTATGTATGCATCACCTCTCCAGTTTTTGCACACTCTTTTGCTCCTTTGTGAAGTGCTGCCCAGGAATCTTCATACCTTCCCAAAAGGAAACAGAAATAGCATTAATATTTATACTTAAAACTATAAAATGCTGCTGATTTTATGTTTTTATTTTTTATGATATATACTCTATGGATATTTTTACAGCTTGGATTTATTTTTATAGAAACACTACAACATTAAAGAACCTTTTTTAGGTTAGCATGTTTCAAAATTTTATAGTAAGATCAGCAAGTAAGTCAACATCACATATTTTAAATGTAAGTTGAGATTCTCTGTGGTCACTTACCCAACATAAATAAATAATAAACCTACAGATTTGGAAAACTCCAAATACAGGTCATGTAGACAGTTTTAAACACCCAATTTACACTTCCACAAATAAAATAAAAATGTGAAAAACTAGAAAATAAGTTTTCTTCTAAAGGAATACATTTTCCTTAAAATCAAAAATAAGTTTTTTTTTAATCTGAAGATTAGTACCCTTATCTAAATACTGTTTTCTGTATTACCAATATGAAATTAGTGGTTACATTACTAATGGAGCTAAATTTAGATTATAATCATCACCCATTTTGTATGTAAATTCAGTGGGATTTAGCTCAAAAAATGAATACAATTGTGATAAAAGGGTGCAATTATATATCATTTCTTGGGAGCCAAGTCACATATATCCAATGTACAAACAAATTAGCGCACAGTCTAACAATCAGTTGATTCAAGTATACAGTTGTCTTTGAAATTCCTAGGAACTGCCCAAAAGCTAAAGTTCTGCATTTCATAAATCCTAATGCGTATAGTATATATTTAATCTTTAACAAGGTAAAGTCATTGTATCAGTGAGATTACTGATTTTATACTGTTATTGTTGCTTTTCAATTGATAAAACAATATAAAAGGAAATACCCTGCATTTATTGTAGTTATATCTCTGGCTGCAGAAAAATAAGGAAATCAATAATATTGTAATAAAACAGCAACAGTTTAAAGAAGAAACGTACCTACTCAGCAAAACTAAACCAGCAGAAAATTCTGGTAAACTCTGTGCAGTCCTGTAATAAAAATTATAGGCACATCTTAATGACTTTACATTTGTTCTTTAGGATCTGGAGGATCCATAAATCATTTTTTTAAATAAAAAAAATCAAAGGATAATTACAACATCAGTAGAGTTCAGCTAACTAAAAATGCAATTTTTATTTGTTTGGTTTGGCCTTTAAAAAATTCTAAGCTGTCATATCAAACAACTTTTATTCTTTGCAATGGCATAGTTATGTCTCCTCTTGTCAATATAAACTCCTATAGAATACAAATACAGGCAGCCCTTGTTCAATGACCACAATTGGGACTGGCAAGTCCACTGCTAAGCAATGCAGCCATTAAGCAAGAAATTATGTGATGGCATCTTGCAATTTTACTGCCACCTTCTAGATCGACAATGCTTGTCATAAGCTGGCTGTAAGTTACGTAACTGGTGATCATGTGATGGCAGGATACAGCAGCCATCAGATACATCCACCGGGTACAAAATGCCTGATGCTGCAACAGCACAAGGACCAGTCATAAAATTATGTTTTCAGCACCATCATGACATTGAACAGTTACTAAACAGGGCAATCATTAAACAAGGACTACCTATACTAGTCTAACTTATGATACAGGGCAGCTCTCTAAAGTGGCACACATACTTTTGGTATAATAATAATGACTGGAACATAATATTGTACAGTAGTTTATTATCATACAAGAACATCAAATTTTAAAGCCTTGCAAGCAATATCAAAACAGAAACTGAATATCTGTTCTGAACATTTGAACAATTTATACCATGAGATAATTATTAAAGTAGTTTTTCTTTTTAAAAAAAAAAACACATAAAACATAAGACATAAAACATAAAAACATCATCCTCCTTCATAGATTTACAAAAAAACATCGTCCTCCTTCATAGATTTACAAACAGTATATCGGCTGGTTTACCACTTTTTTTGTGCATCCATTTCCTAGTCACCATTATAGTTATATTACATAATAACTCATATTATCAATCAACAATTGTATAACCTAGTATCATTACTGAACAATCATTTGACTATAATTTTATTAATTCATACTTTAATGAGATAATTATAATTTACTTAATTTATTTTACAACAAATCATAAAATCATACCAAATCTATCTTAATAAAATTTTATAAAAATAGTATCAAAGAAAAAAGAAAAAGAAAGTATATATTCATTATATCCTAAGTTTCTAAATATTCTATTATTATGTTTTATTATCTAACCATTGATAAAAAAAGATCCCAAACTTCATAAAATTGTTTATCTTCTTGTTCTCTAATTTCAAATGTCAATTACTCATTTCAGCACAATCCAATATTTTCTTAATAGTTTCTTCCTCTGGTGGAATTTTCTCACTCTTCCAATTTTTAGCAAATACAATCCTAGCCACTGTTAATACATTTACAATCAAATACTTCAAATTTTTATTATATGTATCAGGTAAAATTCCCAATAAAAAAATCTCTGGTTTCAAATCTATATGTTTCTTTGTCATTTTTTCCAACCATATGCGAATTTTAGTCCAATATTTTCTAGCGTCCTCACAAGTCCACCACATATGGTAATATGAAAAGTACAGTTTTTCTTAATGAAAACAGATTATACAAGTATAATGTTAAAATATTTAGCAGTACCTCTGTTTATTTATTTTAGCTTCTCTTGATTTGTCACTGAAGATCTTCAGCCTGGAAAAAACATACATTGAAGGAGGAAAAGTCAGTTAGGAGTCCCAATTAAAATTTTCAATATTTATAATACCAATTCACTGAATGTATCAATCCCTTGTATTCCTTCTATCACCTAAAAATAACGCTGCAAACCTGTGCCCATGTACTGCATCAATCCTGATGCTTTCCAGTTGCTATTCCATCTTCTTTCCAAACCTGTATCTTCTGCACATGAAGCAGAGGTCATTATTCTGAGGTGCTGTGAACAGACTGTGCCACAACTATCTTTTTTAAATCATCCCTACATCAAGTAAACATCCTCACTGCAACAGAACATTTTCAGTTTTTTTTTAAAAAGGTTACCTTTCATGGATATTTCTTTATTTTCACTGTTAATTTTGCACTGTTTCTATTAACAAGAACATACTCTCCACTTTCATTTATTAACAAAGAAGCATTTGTCACAAATTTCAAATGTAAACTTTTATTTGAATTTCAATGTTTACATCTAACAGGGATTACTATTTTGAAGCAGAGCTTGGTTTGCAGTCGATAAGATCAATTAAGTAATGTAATCTTTACTATTCCAATCTTTTGTTGAAGTTACATAGGAATATTAAAGCTTTCATCTTCTGCAGACTAAAATAGCATTTATACCAAGAAATTGTGCTGGTTTAGTCACTGAAAAGATAGATATGATACTGTAAGATGCCTACCAGATATCAAGTACTGTTACTAAAATACACAAAAATTACAGCAACACAGCCATAGATGGCTTAAAGTTATATATTTAAAAAGTAAACTATACAGCTCCACTACAAAAAAGAAACTCTATTACAGTTTGAAAAATAAGGAAAATAATTTTGCCTAAGACGTTTGGAATAGATCATTCTTTTAAATATAGTTTGTTAAATGCAACTTGTGTTGGGATCCCTGTATAGTCTGAATGTCGAGTCACTGCAACTGGACTTATTGTCTTGTTGATTTAAGATGATTTGCTGCTCATTCAAATAACTTCTTCAGTCTGAACAAGTTGGTTAAGGGAATCTGAATAAGCAGAATTCCAATTCCTCAAATTCTTAAAGAGTTATTCCTGCACCAACCTCAGGGTTTCTTCCCCAAAATGTGTGGCAGTAAATCAATAAAGATTCTCAGTCATCCAGGTAGAATTGTTTGAAGGATTAAGTCATGGCAACTGGACTTATTTTCTTGTTGATTTGAGGTACTTTGCTGTTTATCTAGCTTCTTCAGTCTGAAGAAGTCTAGTTGTCATGACTCAACTTGCAGACAATTCTACCTGGATGACTAAGAATCCTCATCCACATATCACAGTACAGTCTGTCTTAGTAGGAATCCTTAGGCTAGCAGTGCCATTTGCAATTCTAGCCCTCAACATGTTAGATTGTTACCAACATAATCTGATTCCACTTTTGTTTTTTAAAAGTGGCATGAAGCAACTGTGTAAACAAAGCTGCAGTTGGGAAACGGATTTCATAAGAAGTGCAACTAAAAAATTCTGTCATACTGGCTGTTGGGAAGGAGGGGGGAACGGCTACTTTTATAAAATCTGACCACAAAGCCACAAGAGCTTTGGAAGAGGACAGAACTGTACCATAGGCTTTAGTCTTACATTTACTTAAAACCTATTGATTTTAGCTGGAGCCTCCTTTAAAGAGCTAAAACTGCTTTTTAAAACAATCATGCATTGCTTTCAGGTACACTGTACTGTATTATACTAATATCTCTCACACTACAATATCTTAAAACATGTTAAGACTATTAACTAACAAATCCAAATTAAATCAATGGTTTAAAAAAGGGAAGTAAGAAGTATTCTTTATTATGTAAGCATATCAAAAATATTAAAATGCACGTCTGAGGGAGTCCACTTTCAAAATTCAGGACAGTTTAGGACACTATATTAAGAAGGCAAAGTTTAGAGTGCATATGGTTGAACTTAAGTACATTACAAGTAATCCTCAACTTACAACAGTTCATTTAGTGACCGCTCAATGTTACAATGGCACTGGAAAAAGTGAGTCATGACCGCTTTTCACACTTACGACGGTTGCAGCATCCCCACGGTCGTGTGATCAAAATTCAGACTCCTGGCACGTGGTTCATATTTATGATGGCTTGCAATGTCCCAGGATCCCCTTTTACAACCTTTGGACAAGCAAAGCCAATGGGGAAACCAGATTCAATTAACAACCGTGTAACTTATTCACGCGGCTGTTGATAAAAATAGGATTGCCAACATGATCGCCAACATTCAATGACAGATATGGCACAAGTAGTAGTAGTAACTAACCTAACAACCAACCGCAGGGGTTCACTTAACGACGGTGGCAAGCAAGGTGGTAAAATGGGAGCAAAACTCACTTCACTGTCTCACTTAGCAACATAAATGATGGACTCAACTGTGGTCATAAGTACCAGTACAGGTACTCGTAAGGAGTACCTTATTGGTCAAGAAAGGCTGCTGCTGCTACCCCACGTACCGTACTTCTTATAACCCCGCCCCCTTTTATTTACTCAGGGTTAAGTCGCAAGAAATTACAACGGGATTTATCCACGGCGTGCCTACGCCTGCAGCAGAGTAAGACCATCCCTCTTTTAGCCAGTTCCTTTAAATTCAGCCCCCCGGAGGAGGCTTATTCGCGCGTAAAAGCGTCAGGTGTTACACCCAACCGCCCCTCGGCATTTGCTTGCCGGAGACACTGACGCAGTTTTGGGACTTCTTCGGGAATGTGACCCCCTCCTTCCGGGACGTTCAAGCCTTCCAGGAGCCTCGACTTCAACCCACCACCTTATATATACCGACCGACCGAGCGTCGCTCTCCCCGTGTCTCTCGGGAGCGTTATAGAGGAGCCGCAACCGCCTTCCCCCCCCCCCCCCCCCACCCCCACCCCCCGGGTCTCCCCCCTCACCCGGAGCTCAGATCCTGCTGGACGCTTAGGAGCCGCTCGCGCAAACTCTCCAACATCTCCCGCTCGGAAAAAAACGGCGCGCGCGGGCGCCGCCGCCGACAAACCCTCGGAGCTGGCCGCCTCAACTCCCACTGCGGCACCCAGGAAGCACGGGACGCAGGCTGGCGGGCGGGGGCGCGGCGGGGGCGGGACTTTCGAACGGGCTTCCAATGGCAACGCCGCTTCGCCTTCGACTGTCCTTCATGCGCTCCGCCTGTCAATCGAAGTTTCATCCCCTCAGGGCTTAGCCAAGCCCGCCTTGCTGTCCTGTTTCCTTCCCTCCCTCCCTCCCTGTTCAAAGAACGTAGGGTTTTGCGAGGTCGAGGCTCCGCCCCCCCGGTTGCTTATTTCACAACGGTATCCGCCTTTCCGTTATAAACTGCCTCCTTGTCGCGATTACTTTGACGTAAAGGGTGCCCTGCATGTAGGCGTTTGTTTTTAAAACGTAGCGCTCCTTCGTTAGAATAGAATACAATTCTTTATTGGCTAAGTGTTATTATAGACACTCAAGGAATTAGTTCCCGGTGCATAAGCTCTCAGTGTACATATAACAATATGTAATAATGAAGAGTTCTGAGTTTCAGTTGGGCCAGGGGTCTCCGACCTTGGCAACTTTAAGCCTGGAGGACTTCAACTCTATTCTGGGAGTTGAAGTCCTCCAGGCTTAAAGTTGCCAAGGTCAGAGACCCCTGCAGTGGATGAAAGCAGTGGTGGCCAACCAGTGGGCCGGGGACCACTGGTGGTCCACGAGAAAATTCTAGTAGTCCGCAGAGAAATGTCACCCCGAGAGCACCCCCCCAAAGCAATTAATTCAGGCTGCATGGGAACACAAGGCTGCGTAGCTCACATGACCGGAGGGAACACTTGCTTGCATTGGGAATAACAGGAGGTAGTGAAGGGAGCAGGGAAAGGGTGGAGGGGCAGAACATGCCCCACGCGCCTTGCCTGGCCCCCGGGCTGCTTCTTTCTTCTGATTTTGGCTGCACACAAAGCAGCAAAAGTCTTTCTCTCCTCCAAACTCCGCCAGAAATGAGTCTTTGGGACCCTTCCAGGCATCCTGTGCTGGCAAAGACTCATTTCTGGCAGAGTTGGGGGGAGAGAAAGAAAGGCTTCTGCTGCTTCTGCTGCTTTCCTTGCATGAAGCCAAAAGTCTCTCTCTCTCTCTCTCTCTCTCCCTCCCTCTGAGAACAGAGCTGGAGACGGTATCCTGTGATCCCAAATAAAGAATTATTGATTGGTAGGAAAACAGGATGGGGAATTTTCCTGCAGACTTTTCCTTTAGCCACCGTGTTGGAACTAACTCAAAGCCAACAAAAAAAAAACCTTGGATCGTTGAAAACAAAGAGGATTTATTAAAAAGAAATATTAGACGGTTTGCAAAGTGCTGGTGGTCTTTAGAACCTCAAGAAACAGGTTCAAACCAAAAGCCACACTTTTAGAACCTCAAAACATACTTTATCTACAGTTTCATCTCGTCACCCGAGTTCCCTTTTTCTTGAGACTCATTCCCTCCCAAGTTCAAACTCACTGGATATGCCCTCAGATGTTGCAGCAGCTAATCCTAGGATGTCTCTAGGGAGAATTATCTCCTTCTGTTATGTTCTCATCCATACCACTCCGTACCTCTCACTTTGGCTGCCCAAGTGGCATCTTTCCCTAGCGTTAAGGAATGTAGCACCCCCTCATCAGGGCCCCTTTCTAAGCTCATCATATGCTACCACTTTTCCAAGATTGTAACAACACCCCCCCCCGACATCATAATAATATAAAAGGCATATACATAAGATAAAAATATCAAAAGGCTTAACAATGGAGCATGTCAAAAGTATAAAAACAAAGCACGTGTATACAAGGAAATATATTTCATTTGATAACAGATTAACAGAATTGGAAAGGATCCTGCAAGGTCATCCAGTCCAACCCCCATTTGTGAAACCTTTAACCATTGTATATACCATTTTATTTTTGAATTTACTTATTTCTAACAACTGTCAGTCAAAATTCATATTAGTGATCTGCAGGATTTAAAATTGAGAGTTTGGTGGTCCCTAAGGTCAAAAAGGTTGGCGACCCCTGAACTAAAAAGTCTCTCATGGAAATTCAGCTCGATCTGGCTAAACCATGCTGGCTGGGGAATTATGGAAGTTGAAATCCACATGTCTTAAATTTGCCAAGTTTGGAGTCTTCTGGCTAAAAGAATGCAATAACAATTGCAATATTTTTCTATCCTTCAATGAAGCATTGGCTCTCCCCCCCCCAATCCTCCCCCCCTAATTAACCGGAAAAAGAAGGGGGGCGGGCCGTCCCTAAATGAGACCTTTCTAATAAAGAGACCCCCCCCCCCCAGGATCTGTGGGGAAATCATGATAGTGGCGTATGCAGGAAGATTAGTTTTCATAATTGTCGCTGTGTGTCCAGTCTACATTGTGTAAATCTGTGGCTGGCATCAATCACTAGTGTTCCCTTCTCATGCACAAAGAGAAACTATGATCTTATTCTATGAAGTGGAGTTATTGGCTAGTTGTAATATTTAGCAATTCTTAGACAGCGTCACAGGTAGAGTTATTTGCAATTTATAGTTAAAATTTCCAACCTGTTTACCATCCAGTTATGTTATTTGACAGGCATCGCCAACTCAGATAAAATCTGAAGGTTTTCGGTTTGAGAAAAGTTACAATTTGTCTATCCTTTGCTTCTAAAGAGTTAGAGTATAGTAGGAAAAATGGAAATCTGTGGAGCTAATGAAAAGTGAAATTTTGTGGAATTAATACACTGTTGCAACAATTGTATTAATTCTGCAAAAAGTAATTAAAGGAAATCACATATTAAACTTATACATTTGATTAGCCATTCTATAAATGTTTGTGCAAGTACCTTAATTAATATGTGAGGGGTTTGTTAAACAGAACATTATGCTCTATCATCTAGAATGTAGTATAAAGGATATAAAATTATTCTTTATGTAAAAAAATTCCTTCACCCAATAATTTAAATGCTAAAATGGAACTCACAGTTGGGAGACTAAAAAAATGCATTTCACAATTCAACATGCAACCTCTTTCACTGAGGGCAGAAAAAGAGTCGTATTGTTGCTATATAAATTAAAGTCTACAATATTTACAGACAGCAGGTCCAAGTCTGCTCTCTTCATTAATATCCATAAAAACTGAACAAAATTAATAAAATAAGTGAAAATAAAGATGTATGTGATCTGTTTATGCAGCCTTTAAAAAAGTAGATGTAAAGCCAACTGATAGGAAATGATTAGTTAATGGATTAATCAAACCATTGTATAGAGGCCTTTCTGCAGCAATGCTTCAGTAACAGAGAAAAATATGTTGGAAGCAGAGGTGGTATTCAGCAGGTTCTGACCAGTTCTGGAGAATGCAAAATGTAACCGGTAGTTAACAGATAACAGATAATCAGAGTTGGAAGGGACCTTGTAAGTCATATAGTCCAACCCCCCGCCCAAGTGGGAGACCCTACACCATTTCTGACAAATGGCAGTCCAATCTCTTCTTGAAAGTCTCAAGTGATGGCACTCCCACAACTTCCGAGGGCAAGCTGTTCCATTGGTTGATTGTTCTCACTGTCAGAAAGTTTCTCCTTATTTCCAGGTTAAATCTCTCCTTGTTCAGTTTCCATCCAGTTTACCCCAGTCGGATCCCACCCCTGGCCAGAACAGATATCTTAATGTAATCTGTTCATTGATGTTACAAGTTTTAGTGATTATTGAGGTTTTTTGTTTATAGCATCTAATTAACTAAATTTGTTATATATAACCAGTCGCCTTTTTATATTTTTGATTACTTCAGGTACTTTAATATTTCAGACTTTACATTTACATGAATATATTTACTTTGATACCACTTCTGCAGGTTTGGCCAACAAGCAAATGTAATTGGGGAAAGAGTCTATAAAATTAGACAAGTATTGTTCCGGACTAGCAGGCTCGAAGCCTGCAAACCTGATTGGCCCGCTGATAGCCGATTGTGATTGGTCGCCATGGACTGATGCGATTGGCCAGTAAACGGGCTGCCGCGATTGGCCCTGCCAAGAGCGGCAAACTCAAATAGCCTTCATTGGCTGCCTAGCCGCAGCCAGCCCTATATAAGGGGCTGCTGCGGCTGGGATTAGTTGCTCAGATCTGAAGTCACTAATAAAGAGCTGTTGTTGCTATCTGAGTCTTGCCTCCGTTCTTGAACCATCCTCCCAGATCTAACACTGGCGATGAGGATGGGATGCAGAGGCAACAAAGTCTATTGATTTGAGCTAGCTGAAGGAGCATGTGGCTGACAGAGCGCAACGACGGTGACATGGCCAGCAGCGCTATACCACCTACACCATTCAATCCAGCTAGCGAAGACTGGGACTCATATATGGACAGATTTCAAATGTTCCTGGAGTCCAACAACCTCAAAGATGCCATGCCTAGCAAGAAATGAGCTGTTTTTCTAACCCATTGTGGGCCAGCCGTTTTTAAGATGGCTAAAGCCTTAGCGAAGCCAGCTGAGGTTAAAACCATGGATTGGGACACCCTTGCTCCCATCCTGCGCAACCATTACGCCCCAACCGTGCCAACTCTCATTCGCAGACACGAGTTCTACCAGAGGGACCAGCGTGAAGGTGAGAGCGTTGGGGATTTTGTGGCAGACCTGAGGAACCTGGGCAGTTTATGTGGCTTCGCCAACGTCGAAGAAGCCATGAGAGATCGCATCGTCCTTGGCCTCAGAGACCCAACCGTCCAGAGCAAGATCATGGCCCAGGGAGACATCTCGCTTGCAGATGCCATAGCAGACGCCACCGCAGCTGAAGCCACTCGTAAAACAGCAGCACGAATGCGTCGAACCAGCGGAACCAACCGCCAACCCACCAACGATGCTGGGAAACCTTCAGACAAGTACACATCGACCACCCATCATGAAGATGTCAAGTCATCCTCAGACAGCGAGGAAGAAGGAGTCCACAGGCTCCGGTCGGAACATGAGCAACGGGACCAGCGGGGTCGTAAACCCAACTACCAATGCACCGGATGCGGGGGAAACCATTCCTGATCTGAATGCAGTTTCTTAGACGCCATGTGTCGTTTTTGCGAGAAACGAGGGCACATCG